CATTCTGTACAGAGTCCCAGGTGATCAACCCTGTCTAGTTCTATACATAAACATCAAACTACATTCTGTACAGAGTCCCAGGTGATCAACCCTGTCTAGTTCTATACATAAACATACAGAGTTACGATCTTTTATTGCAGACAAATAATTAAAGTGCCTTATCTTCGTCCTGTTGTCTTCATTAAAAGATGTTGTTTCCCTTTGTTTTCAGTAAAGGCGTCAATGACATGGGAAGAAGGGAGGTTTCAACCAAGATTCCACTGTCCGAGGTTCCCTTTGTTATGAGGGCTATGGGGTTTTATCCCTCCGAACAAGAGGCAAGTCTTATCACTTATATGTATTATTTAAGGATAGATCAAGATAGATTCAATTTGAATTAAAAATGTTCATCAATATTAAAACATTTCTTTTGGATCCCGCAAGTTTTTTGTTTGGATTAATCAATTTTGAAAAAAAAAACACTTGAAATACATGTAGTTCAAGCAGGTATAGGAACTGGCCGATTTTTTTTGAGTTGAAAGTGTGTATGTGGAAGTGGGGAGGGCTTCAGGGGTACTAACTCGTGCTGTGCTTGGACTCCAGACACTGGTTCCTCTAAGGTTGGTTAGAGTTAACCAATGGTTAGGGAACATTTAACCCTTTCACCACTGTAAACTATAATGGATTCATCTATATCAATACATCGTAGAGTCTACTAAAGTGACATAGGGGTGAAAGGGTTAAAAACAAGAAAACAAAAAATCAAGAACATCTGATATCATTTCACTTTTAAAGATTAGTTTAAGCAGAGTAGATTGATGTGTTTTGAGGTTATATTTTACTTTGAAAGCCCTCGCTTCTTATTGGCAATAATATTTTTTTTTCACTAACTTCTGGTTAAATATAACCAAACTTTGAGCAAATGGGGTCAGATCTAAAGAAAATGAAAATGGAGTGAAATGAAATCCATTATTTTTCATCTTTTACTCATAATAATTATTTCCAGAATATTTTTTTGTATATTTTTACATTGCTTTAATGGTTTCATATTTGCCTGAATATTTTAGATTGAAGACATGCTAAATGAGGTGAAATTTAGTCGATATGTAGAAACTGGACAATACGTTGATTCCATAGATCTTGGAGAATTCATCAAATGTAAGTAAAACTGGAGAATTGAATTTTCCTACTGAATTTTAAACATACAATAATTCGGTTCATTTAGATTTTGACATAGTTCAGTTTTCATACTATTCTTCTGAATTTAGCAATAATCTATACATATATATGACATTTGCCGGGGCATTAGTACCCATTGGTACATGCATTATCACAGGGGACTACACGTTTATACTCCCTCAGTCCGTCGATCTATGCATCACTGTATTGGGAATGCATCAAATACTACAATCGCCAGATCACATTTGCCAGCATCTCTTGTAATGATGGAGTGTTACACTCTAAGATTGGGTTTGTGCCCCTCTATATATGATGTAGTGTTACACTCTAAGATTGGGTTTGTGCCCCACTATATATAATTGGAGTATTACACTTTAAGATTGGGTTTGTGCCCCACTATATATGATTGGAGTGTTACACTCTTAAGATTGGGTTTGGGCCCCACTATCTATGATACTGTGTTACACTCTAAGATTAGGTTTGTGCCCCACTATATATGATGGAGTGTTACACTCTAATATTGGGTTTGTGGCCACTATATATGATGGAGTGTTACACTCTAAGATAGGGTTTGTGCCCACTATATATGATGGAGTGTTACACTCTAAGATAGGGTTTGTGCCCCACTATATATGATGGAGTGGTACACTCTAAGATTGGGTTTGTGCCCCACTATGTATGATACTGTGTTACACTCTAAGATTGGGTTTGTGCCCACTATATATGATGGAGTGTTACACTCTAATATTGGGTTTGTGCCCACTATATATGATGGAGTGTTACACTCTAATATTGGGTTTGTGGCCACTATATATGATGGAGTGTTACACTCTAAGATTAGGTTTGTGCCCCACTATATATGATGAAGGGTTACACTTCTAAGATTGGGCTTGTGCCCCACTATATATGATTGGAGTGTTACACTCTAACATTGGGTTTGTGCCCCACTATAAATGATGTAGTGTTACACACTTAAGATTGGGTTTGTGCCCACTGTATATGATAGTGTGTTACACTCTAAGATTGGGTTTGTGCCCCCCTATATATGATGTAGTGTTACACTTTAAGATTGGGTTTTTGCCCCACTATATATGACAGTGTGTTATACTCTAAGATTGGGTTTGTGCCCCACTATATACGATGGAGTGTTACACTCTAAGATTGGGTTTGTGCCCCGCTATATATGATGTAGTGTTACACTCTAAAATTGGGTTTGTGCCCCACTATATATGATTGGAGTGTTACACTCTAACATTGGGTTTGTGCCCCACTATAAATGATGTAGTGTTACACACTTAAGATTGGGTTTGTGCCCACTGTATATGATAGTGTGTTACACTCCAAGATTGGGTTTGTGCCCAACTATATATGACAGTGTTACACTTCTAAGATTTGGTTTATGCCCCACTATGTATGATGCTGTGTTACACTCTAAGATTGGGTTTGTGCCCACTATATATGATGGAGTGTTACACTCTAAGATTAGGTTTGTGCCCCACTATATATGATGGAGTGTTATACTCTAAGATTGGGTTTGTGCCCCACTATATATAATTGGAGTATTACACTTTAAGATTGGGTTCGTGCCCCACTATATATGATTGGAGTGTTACACTCTAAGATTGATTTTGTGCCCCACTATATATGATAGTGTGTTACACTCTAAGCTTGGGTTTGTGCCCCACTATATATGATGGAGTGTTACACTCTAATATTGGGTTTGTGGCCACTATATATGATGGAGTGTTACACTCTAATATTGGGTTTGTGGCCACTATATATGATGGAGTGTTACACTCTAATATTGGGTTTGTGGCCACTATATATGATGGAGTGTTACACTCTAATATTGGGTTTGTGCCCACTATATATGATGGAGTGTTACACTCTAATATTGGGTTTGTGCCCACTATATATGATGGAGTGTTACACTCTAAGATAGGGTTTGTGCCCCACTATATATGATGGAGTGGTACACTCTAAGATTGGGTTTGTGCCCCACTATATACGATGGAGTGTTACACTCTAAGATTGGGTTTGTGCCCTACTATATATGATTAGAGTGTTACACTCTAAGATTAGGTTTGTGCCCCACTATATATGATGAAGGGTTACACTTCTAAGATTGGGCTTGTGCCCCACTATATATGATTGGAGTGTTGCACTCTAAGATTGGGTTTGTGCCCCATTATATATGATGGAGTGTTACACTCTAAGATTAGGTTTGTGCCCCACTATATATGATGAAGTGTTACACTCCTAAGATTGGGTTTGTGCCCCACTATATATGATAGAGTGTTAAACTCTAAGATTGGGTTTGTGCCCCACTATATATTATTGGAGTGTTACACTCTAAGATTGGGTTTGTGTCCCACTATGTATGATACTGTGTTACACTCTAAGATTGGGTTTGTGCCCCCCTATATATGATGTAGTGTTACACTCTAAGATTGGGTTTTTGCCCCACTATATATGATAGTGTGTTATACTCTAAGATTGGGTTTGTGCCCCTTTATATATGATGTAGTGTTACACTCTAAGATTGGGTTTGTGCCCAACTATATATGATAGTGTGTTACACTCTAAGATTGGGTTTGTGCCCCACTGTATATGATAGTGTGTTATACTCTAAGATTGGGTTTGTGCCCCTCTATATATGATGTAGTGTTACACTCTAAGATTAGGTTTGTGCCCCACTATATATGATGGAGTGTTATACTCTAAGATTGGGTTTGTGCCCCACTATATATGATGGAGTGTTACACTCTAAGATTGGGTTTGTGTCCCACTATGTATGATGGAGTGTTACACTCTAATATTGGGCTTGTGCCCCACTATATATGATTGGAGTGTTACACTCTAAGATTGGGTTTGTGTCCCACTATATATGATGCTGTGTTACACTCTAAGATTGGGTTTGTGTCCCACTATGTATGATGGAGTGTTACACTCTAATATTGGGTTTGTGCCCACTATATATGATGGAGTGTTACACTCTAAGATTGGGCTTGTGCCCCACTATATATGATTGGAGTGTTACACTCTAAGATTGGGTTTGTGCCCCACTATATATGATGTAGTGTTACACTCTAAGATTGGGCTTGTGCCCCACTATATATGATTGGAGTGTTACACTCTAAGATTGGATTTGTGCCCCACTATATATGATGGAGTGTTACATTCTAAGATTGGGTTTGTGCCCCACTATATATGACAGTGTTACACTTCTAAGATTTGGTTTGTGCCCCACTATGTATGATACTGTGTTACACTCTAAGATTGGGTTTGTGGCCCCCTATATATGATGTAGTGTTACACTCTAAGATTGGATTTGTGCCCCACTATATATGATAGTGTGTTACGCTCTAAAATTGGGTTTGTGCCCCACTATATATGATTTGAGTGTTACACTCTAAGATTGGGTTTGTACCCCACTATATATGATGGAGTGTTAGACTCTAAGATTGGGTTTGTGCCCCACTATATATGTCAGTGTTACACTTCTAAGATTTGGTTTGTGCCTCACTATGTATGATACTGTGTTACACTCTAAGATTTGGTTTGTGCCTCACTATATATGATGGAGTGTTACATTCTAAGATTGGGTTTGTGTCCCACTATGTATGATACTGTGTTACACTCTAAGATTGGGTTTGTGGCCCCCTATATATGATGTAGTGTTACACTCTAAGATTGGATTTGTGCCCCACTATATATGATGGAGTGTTACATTCTAAGATTGGGTTTGTGCCCCACTATATATGATTGGAGTGTTACACTCTAAGATTAGGTTTGTGCCCCACTATATATGATGGAGTGTTTCACTCTAAGATTGGGTTTGTACCCCCCTATATGTGACGGAGTGTTACACTCTAAGATTGGGTTTGTGCCCAACTATATATGATAGTGTGTTACACTCTAAGATTGGGTTTGTGCCCAACTATATATGATAGTGTGTTACACTCTAAGATTGGGTTTGTGCCCCCCTATATATGATGTAGTGTTACACTCTAAGATTGGGCTTGTGCCCCACTATATATGATTGGAGTGTTACACTCTAAGATTAGGTTTGTGCCCCACTATATATGATGGAGTGTTTCACTCTAAGATTGGGTTTGTACCCCCCTATATGTGACGGAGTGTTACACTCTAAGATTGGGTTTGTGCCCCTCTATATATGATGTAGTGTTACACTCTAAGATTGGGTTTTTCCCCCACTATATATGATAGTGTGTTATACTCTAAGATTGGGTTTGTGCCCCTTTATATATGATGTAGTGTTACACTCTAAGATTGGATTTGTGCCCCACTATATATGATAGTGTGTTACACTCTAAAATTGGGTTTGTGCCCCACGATATATGATGCTGTGTTACACTCTAAGATTGGGTTTGTGCCTCACTATATATGATGGAGTGTTACACTCTAAGTTACACTCTAAGATTGGGTTTGTGCCCCACTATATATGAAGATTGGGTTTGTGCCCCACTATATATGATGCTGTGTTACACTCTAAGATTGGGTTTGTGCCCACCTTTATATGATAGTGTGTTACACTCTAAGATTGGGTTTGTACCCCCCTATATATGACGGAGTGTTACACTCTAAGATTGGGTTTGTGCCCAACTATATATGATAGTGTGTTACACTCTAAGATTGGGTTTGTGCCCCTCTATATATATTTGTGCCCCACTATATATGATAGTGTGTTACACTCTAAGATTGGGTTTGTACCCCCCTATATGTGACGGAGTGTTACACTCTAAGATTGGGTTTGTGCCCACTATATATGATGGAGTGTTACACTCTAACATTGGGTTTGTACCCCCCTATATATGATGGAGCGTTACACTCTAAGATTGGGTTTGTACCCCCCCTATATATGATGGAATGTTACACTCTAAGATTGGGTTTATGCCCCACTATATATGATGGAGTGTTACACTCTAAGATTGGGTTTGTACCCCCCCTATATATGATGGAGTGTTACACTCTAAGATTGGGTTTATGCCCCACTATATATGATGGAGTGTTACACTCTAAGATTGGGTTTATACCCCCCCTATATATGATTGAGTTTTTCCCTCTTAGATTTGGTTTTTTCCCCCCCTATATATGATTGAGTTTTTCCCTCTTAGATTTGGTTTTTTCCCCCCCTATATATGATGGAGAGTTACACTATAAGATTGGGTTTGTGTCCCACTATGTATGATACTGTGTTACCCTCTAAGATTGGGTTTTTACCCCCCCTATATATGAGGGAGGGTTACACTCTAAGATTGGGTTTTTACCCCCCCTATATATGATGGAGAGTTACACTATAAGATTGGGTTTGTCCCCCCTATATATGAGGGAGGGTTACACTCTAACATTGGGTTTGTACCCCCCCTATATATGAGGGAGGGTTACACTCTAAGATTGGGCTTGTGCCCCACTATATAATGATGTAGTGTTACACTCTAATATTGGGCTTGTGCCCCACTATATAATGATGTAGTGTTACACTCTAAGTTACACTCTAAGATTTGGTTTGTGCCTCACTATATATGATGGAGTCTTACACTCTAAGATTTGGGTTTTACCCCCCCTATATATGATGGAGTGTTACACTCTAAGATTGGGTTTGTGCCCCACTTCATACAGAATTATTGCCCTTTGTTCATTTACAATAAAAGTTTGTCCAGAGTTGGATTGCTAATGTTCATTGCTTTTTCTCACAAATCCATCACTCTATTATGGTATGTAACCGCAACATACAAGTTTTAAAGATTATCAAATTTTATACATTGAGACCAATTAATGAGAAGAGATTACCATGACAACATCAACTGGGATATCAGTAAATTTAATCCAGTGTTTACATGTGGACCGTTATCAGGTTGCAGGAGGGTTGTGATGACGGCCAAAACATGTCATCTCTTCTCATTAGTGATTATATACTTCTATGGCCGGACTAGTCAACTCTATTTAAAGAATCCATCAACTGGGATATGCTGAACTTTGCTGATCTTTATGGAAACTACCCTTGACTGGACGTTGGTTCTCCACCCCCACCCCTACCCCACCCCCTGTATTGAGACCAATATACTGTTTTCAATGTTTACACTTGACTTTTAACTGTGTTGCATGATTTTAGCATGTTTCAAGAAAGTCGACTTGAGCACAAAATCCACAATTGAGCACGAGTTCAGTTCATGAATACAAATTTTATGTTGATTCAAATTTATTAATTTGTTAATATTTTGTTTAAAGTATACACAAACCATCGTCCAGCCTTTGGCTTAGACCCTGAGAAGTTGGTGGAAGCGTTTGATATTCTTGGGGTAGCAACACACAAGGGCAGTGCCATTGAGAGAGGAGATCTCCTTGACTTCCTACAAACTAAAGGTACGTTTTATATCAAGTAACAGTTCGACCATTGTTTTGCAATTAGTTTTATTACAGTGAAAATGTAGGCAGTATTTCTTGTGTCATATTGAATACTTGTTATGCTTCATAAGGGGAGTGAACACTTTATTCTACAACAATTGTGAAACGCGTAACTATTAATTGATGTTATCTACTCTTATTGGCCTGGATGGTAGCATGCGGGGGTTTAAATGTGGGGGGAAACGGGAGTACCTGGAGAAAACCAAGGCAGGCGACCCATACCTTTTCACATTTGATCAGGGTATCGAATCCTGTCTGCAATAGTGAAAGGAGAGTGTGCTATCCACTACGCCACAAGACTACACTTTGATATCATTGCGACTGTTGGAAGATATAAATTAACATTTTGATCATGACGTCATTATCTAATCACGTCTTTGTATTGTGATGTCATCTTTGTTTGTTTCTTGTTATTTACACAGCAATGTATTTCTCTGATTGGTCAAAAACATTTGAAAAAAGTGGAAATTTTCAATTTCATTGATATTTTCAGCATCAAACTGCAAAAATGAACAAAATGCAATAAGAATATAACCTAATGAAAATTAATTTGCAGTATATCCTCAACAAATTCTGATGAATTGAATTCTATATCATACACACATACTGTAAATACACAAAGAATTTATTTTTTGTTGAGACAATGTAATTCAAGAAAATACAAGAATACATTCGGATCGTACAATAGTAAATTTATAACTATGAGAGAATCATGTTGTAAACCAAATATAAATATTGCTATGGAGACTATTTGTTTCATTTTTCATTTTTAAATAACCTTTTTTTTTTTTTTTACCAGGAGAACATATGACAGAGTATGAGCTAGCAGAATACTTGACAACATTGCTAGGGTTCAACGCTGAAGGCGGAAGTAGCGAGCTTCAGGAATTCGATTCCTCACAAGCTGGTGATGTCATCGACCAAAACCTTCCTCATCAGATTACAGCAGACATGTTCTCTAAGGAAGTGCTAGGATTTTCCATGTACAATGAAACACCTCAGAGTGAAATGTAACAAGATCTCTGATTGGTGCATTAGAGATATAACATCCAAAAATGAAAAATATAACAAGATCTCTGATTGGTGTATGTAAACGTGTTTAATAACCACAATCCAGAGTGAAATGAAACAAGACCTTTGATTGGTGCATTCAAGATTTCGGCAGTACATCCAACAATTAAATGTAGCAATATCTCTAGATGGTGGATTTAAGACTAGAACAGCCACATTGAACAGATATTGACATGTAATAAGATCTTTGATTGATGCAAAAATGTTAAACAACTGCATCCTAGTTTGAAATGTCAGAAGAAATCTTAGTGCAATTAGATCCTTTACGTTAAGAACAAGGTTCAGTAAAATGAAACAAGATCTTTTATTGTACAACAACCTTTTATTTGGAGATTTTATATTTTCGTTCTCAGACAAAATGATTTGTTTATGTTTTGAATAACTTGTTCCATTGTGAAGGGTACAGACTCAATCATATGTGTTTATTTTTTGAGTTAGAAGTTATCTTGTTATATGAGAAGCTTCCATTTTGACAGAACATTTTCAAAATGCAGATACTTAGTAGAAAAGAAATTTTGTTTCAGTCAAAAAAGTTGTCTTTAATAATTTGGTATTGTTATTCTAATTGTAAATATGAAGCTTATTTCAATCTACAAAGTTATCTGTGATAATAATTTATATGTTTTACTTACGAAAAATGTATATATTTACATAAAATGTTGACATTAATAATTTATGAAAAATATATACATTTAAGATAAATTGCGTATGTTCATATTCCACATACACCTCTTTTTTATATTGCTTAAAATCCATGTAAATATATGTAAGTATGTAAATATCAAAGCAATATAAATGTGAAGGAATAAAGAAACTTGATTGATGATTATTTGTTTTAGATTTCGTATCTTGATTACACCACACGTGTTTGTGTGCTAGGTCGGGGGGGGGGGGGGGGGGGGGGGGNTAGTTTGACACCGAGATTAGTTTCCTCAGAATCTGACTTCCACAGGTTTTAGCTCTCCTGATAAAAAGTGCCTCTGACCTTGTTCAAGGTGATACATCATCATTTGGTCATCAACTTTTTCTTTGTTCTTTGGTCAACTTCTTTTAAAGAATCAAAAGGCCTAATGTCAAGCTATTTGGCCATTAGGGAGAGCCATGCCCCCTGTCCATGCCTCCTGCACCCACTATATCCAACCCGAAATTCTCCTCGCCTACAGTATTGACGTATCTTCCCTATCACAATACAGCAGATCACTGTACATGTTAGTCTATTGAGTGTTCTGTATAAGAGGTCATTCATGGAAAATAATCTCAATTTTGCATGGCTGCCGCTTAGTCACCTCATAGCATCATACAGTTTGATACATAAGGCCACTTGAATGTCCCGGAACCTGAAGTGGGTGACACTGATTTGAGTATTACATGCTGTAGTGTTAAAGCTTATACTAGGTATTTATACTACCCCCAATCCTTCCTCTTTTTCCGGCTATGTATAACACACATACACATCTGTACATATTTAGAGAAATTTGAGAAATAAAGCAATTAAAATTGCGAGTTTTCATTTTTAAAATGCATAAAAAATACTTTTGATGCCAAAGAAAATAAATTAACATTAAACCTAATGGGAAAATAAGGTAAGGTGAGACTTATGACCGGTCACTTTGTGTATGTCACTTCATGTCCATCAAGTTTCTAGAACACCGATTAAAGCTTTTGCAGCTTTGTATCGATACAGTGTGCTTCCATTCAAAGTAAACAGATCAACTTCATGGCCAACTCTACAATGACAAGTTGTAGTTGAGCACGGTCCGTGTTGGTAATGACCTGGATTTAGTTTGTTACCAATGTAAACAACACTAGACAGATACACGGAACCAGGGAAATGAACCATTGCTCCCATGACTTCTCCGTCATAAAGCACACCTACTTGATGAAGTCTGAGTAATGTATACCCAGGCATCAAAGCGCACCAGAGAAAGGTGAGATAATATAACAACTACAGGAGTCTGTCAACCTTAAACAGGCTAAACAGACGTACAACTTTAACAACCTTAAAACAGGTTCCGCGTTTTCCTTTTTACATCATGCACATTTAGCCATAATTGTGTGTTACATATTACGGTCTTGAATGGTCACAGAACACATTTATTTTATATCTCTGAAACAAGATACACCCCTCATCATATACAATTCATACGAGATTACAAGGAACGGCCCATTTCCCCATGTATTAATATGATCCTAGAATCTTTAGAGCGTAAAGATATATGAAGAAAACCAGCCTAAGAATACTGTCTAAAACATTTTTAAATGAACTCTTTCACATTTTTTTACGCCAGCCAATTTTTACATTTTGTATATAAATACCATTAGTAAGAGACATAGCTTTGTTTATTATACTTGTCAAACGAAAATGAGAAAAGGAAATAAAACCAGAGACGTATAATACGTCTCTGATAAAACAAATATTCCAAGCATAAAGTTTGCTTTTTACTATGTCCTTTTTTTTCATTATGAAACACCTTCAATAAATGTATAAGACACAGATCTCTGATTATGTCTCTCATAATTCTCACGAACATATATTTACATTTTTTCTTTTCTGTAATTTCAAATAACTAAAATACCATTTTCCCTATCAAATAATAATTGTCGATAATTGTCACCAGTTTCTTCTTTGAAGTACACAGGTTTTATGAACATATCAGAAAAAATGTCATTCTACCTCTGTAGTTTACCAGAATACCATACAGACACTGACGGGGGTTATAACTAGCCTAACAAGCTCATCTTTTTCACAAACAAATTATTTAAATGGTTACATGAATGTTTGTCCCTTTTATGATTTTAACACGGGAATTACTCGCAAAACCGTCGACATTATTATGATAAAGTTTACATTTGATAAAGAATTGACACTCTACTGATTCGTAACGCACAACCATAAAAATTTGTATTTTACGCAATTGTACCAAACTTTGATCGGGAAACAATACCGCGGTGAAAAAATATGGTTTAAAATACCCACAATTTAAGAAAATCGACTGGGTCAGTGTTGTACAGCACTTAATGGTAGTGCAACCTATCGTCGTCGTCGTCGTCATCGTCGTCGTCGTCAGGTTCGTATCGCTCATATCTACATGGAACATTGCAGTAGTCCAGGGCGTCGACGTCTGTGTCACCTCGCTCTTCCTTCTGATGCCGTCGTAGCTCGGTAATTCTACTGGCAGCTGCTCGGTTGTCGGGAAGTAGTCGACATGATTCCTCATACGACTTAACGGCATGTCTTGTGTTCCCCAATAGTTGGTGACATATCCCCACCAGATTATGTAAAATAGGGTAGTTACGTACTCCATAGACTTCATTTCTGCGTACAGCCAGGAGGTCATCGAGGGTTGTCCTGGCCTTTTTGGTATCACCGAGTTTATAGGCAGACAACACAAGGAGGAACACAGCGTACGGCAGTGGTGGAATATCAATACCCTCCTCATCTGCCGCAACCTCAAGGTCTAGTTCTGGTGGATATAGTTTGTTTTGCTTTTTGAAGATTCTATATACTAGCACAAACGAACGTTTAAATTTCTGTAATAGTGTGTATCCTTTACCACACATGTCGTTCAAGTATTCAGAATTTTTGAAATGTCCAAACCTCTGTATTAACGCACTTTGTTGACAAGCGGAAACTACGCGTGTTGCCACCGCAGAAGCTTTGCTGTAAGAACCAGCATTGATGTAGAATGTGGCCAGTAATAACAGTCCTTCACAAACATCGGTTGCAGACGACATGTGAAGTAACCATTTGTTCTTTCTGATCTTTGTATAGACACGTTTATTAGTGTAACGATGGGACAGCGTTAGGTCTGCAGTGATGTTACTAGACGTGATTGTCATAGCTTTGATAAAGTAAAGCAGTAATAAATCAGAAATGTTGTCATTAGGACATTTTAAGAAATCCATGTTAGCTGAACTAAATGCGGCCGCAATATCGATGATTCTCATGTGATCAAATAGCATACGGATTAGTTCATCCTGTCTAAATTCTTCCATGACTAACTGCTCATGATTTGCCAAAGGGTACATTGAACGACTTTCAATTACCTCTTGAGGTAAAGACTGAAGACTCGGGCACTGAAACAAACACTTCCACCCCATACACTGATATTTATTCAGTACATGGAGTAGTCTCCTCCTGTTGTCCCCAGTGACGTTAGAGAGGAACATGTTGTGGGTAAGCACAAAGTAATTAGGGCAGTATCCGGTTTGTACAAATTCCAGAAGTATAGTAAAGCAGAACCAAAAACACTGTACAATGTTCTCGTCCACCCACATAGAACTTGTGGAGTGTTCTATCGCATGAAACAAAATTGTCTTCATGAAATATGAACAGAGCAGGTCTTTAATGGATTCTTCACGTTCAAGACACTCTTTAAGGAATATTTTCAGTAAAGCATACGTTTTCAAATGTACGTGATTAAATGACATTACGAGGGATTTTTCGGCTTTTGCAAAGGAAATCCGCCATTGCATTGCATTCAGACTAGAATGTTTGTCACCGATTGCAACAAAGTAGCATCCCTGTTTCACGATGTGATTGACCAACTGTCTAGATGGCCAAACACAGTGTATGGTACGAGACCTGAAGTCACTTAGGCTATCTGGCCACGATAAGCAATGGAAACAGTATGCACGATCAACTTCATGGCCAACTCTACAATGACAAGTTGTAGTTGAGCACGGTCCGTGTTGGTAATGACCTGGATTTAGTTTGTTACTAATGTAAACAACACTAGACAGATACACGGAACCAGGGAAATGTACCATTGCTCCCATGACTTCTCCGTTATAAAGCACACCTACTTGATGTTGTCTGAGTAATGTATACCCAGGCATACAGCCAGTGGTGTCCATGACCAGAACAGTTTTACTAACATCCCCCTCTGGTATCTCATCATTTGGTTGAATTACAATTACGCGGTTGTCTGATAACATCACATCCTTATCCGAACACTCAAATTCTAATCCCTCTCCCCTAGAACCAATACATGTAGCTGTAAAGTTTGTTTCTTCTGAACCGTGCATAATGATGGTAAAGTAGTCCATCATACGTCTTATTTTGACTGTTTTTTCTGAACCTATAGCTTCGATGCCATCAAGATGGTGAGACAAGAACCTGGACATTTTCCGTGTTTCCCTCCGCTCCATAGTTTGACCTTGACCATCTGTGTTACGATCTCACTCTGAAAGAGCGACAGGTTATTCAGGTTATTCTGTGACAAGTGTAATTAGATTCATAAATAGGAATACTAGCAAGTTTGATAAAAACATATCTAATTCATGGGAAGTAATTAAAAACTTTTCTGCGAGATTTCGAAAAGCAAAAGAGTGCACTGACCGATGTCTCGACTCTAAACCACTGAACACAACTACACTGTAAGCAACATTGTACCGAGTCAGTAAAGTCATCTGTCAAAAACATCGAGACGTTTTGCCAAATAGCATCGAGTACTGCAGGTAGTCAGAGGGATGTGTAAAATATGTACCACTCCTTCCTTTAGTGGATTTAAAATAGAGTTATACAGATGACTTGGATGGTGCCCCCTCCCCTCTGTTCATCGATTTTCATTCCTTCATAACAGAATTGATCGATAAAAAAAAAACAAATTTTAACTGTTATGTATCCTGGCTGATCAAAGACATCACAATTGTTATAACCCTGGTCAATCAATGAAATAGCTATACTAAACTGTTGTGATCTCTGGTCGATCAATGAAAAAACTATACTTAATTGTTGTGCTCTCTGGTCAGTCAATGAAAAAAGTAAACTAAACTTGTGTGCTCTCTGGTCGATCAATGAACTAACCATATTTAACCGTTGTGCTCTCTGGTCGATCAATGAAATAGCTATATTTAACTGTTGTGCTTTCTAGTCGATCCATGAAATAACTTCACTTAACTGTTGTGCTCTCTGGTCGATCAATGAACTAACCATATTTAACCGTTGTGCTCTCTGGTCGATCAATGAAATAGCTATACTTAACTGTTGTGCTCTCTGGTCGATCCATGAAATAGCTATACTTAACTGTTGTGCTCTCTGGTCGATCAATGAACTAACCATATTTAACGGTTGTGCTCTCTGGTAGATCAATGAAATAACTATATACTTAGCTGTTGTGCTCTCTAGTCGATCAATGAAATAGCTATATTTAACTGTTGTGCTTTCTAGTCGATCCATGAAATAACTTCACTTAACTGTTGTGCTCTCTGGTCGATCAATGAACTAACCATATTTAACCGTTGTGCTCTCTGGTCGATCAATGAAATAGCTATACTAATCTGTTGTGATCTCTGGTCGATCAATGGAATAGCTATACTAAACTGTTGTGATCTCTGGTCTATCAATGAAATACCTATACTAAACTGTTGTGATCTCTGGGCGATCGATGAAATACCTATACTAAACTGTTGTGATCTCTGGGCGATCGATGAAATACCTATACTAAACTGTTGTGATCTCTGGTCGCTCAATGAAATAGCTATACTAAACTGTTGTGATCTCTGGTCGATCAATGAAATAGCTATACTTAACTGTTGTGCTCTCTGGTCAGTCAATGAAAAAAGTATACTAAACTTGTGTGCTCTCTGGTCGATCAATGAAATAACCATATTTAACGGTTGTGCTCTCTGGTCGATCAATGAAATAACTATATACTTAGCTGTTGTGCTCTCTAGTCGATCAATGAAATAACTATACTTAACTGTTGTGCTCTTTGGTCAGTCAATGAAAAAACTATACTAAACTAATTCGCTATCTGGTCGATCAATGAAATAACCATATTTAACGGTTGTGCTTTCTGGTCGATCAATGAAATAACCATATTTAACGGTTGTGCTCTCTGGTCGATCCATGAAATAAATATATACTAAACTGTTGTGCTCTCTGGTCGATCAATGAAATAGCTATATTTAACTGGTGTGCTCTCTGGGCAGTGAATGAAAAAAATATACTAAACTGTTTTACTATCTGGTCGATCAATGAAATAGCTATATTTAACTGCTGTGCTCTCTGGTCGATCAATGAAATAACTATCTTAACTATTGTGCTCTCTGGTCAATCAATGAAACACCTATACTAAACTGTTTTGCTATCTGGTCAATCAATTAAATAACCATATTTAACGGTTGTGCTCTCTGGTCGATCAATGAAATACCTATACTTAACTGTTGTGCTCTTTGGTCAGTCAATGAAAACACTATACTAAACTGTTTTGCTCTCAGGTCGATCAATGAAATAGCTATATTTAACTGTTGTGCTCTCTGGTCAGTGAATGAAAAAAATATACTAAACTGTTTTGCTATCTGGTCGATCAATGAAATAGCTATATTTAACTGCTGTGCTCTCTGGTCGATCAATGAAATAACTATACTTAATTGTTGTGCTCTCTGGTCAGTCAATAAAAAACCTATACTAAACTGTTTTGCTCTCTAGTCAGTTAATGAAAAAACTATAATAAACTGTTTTGCTCTCTGGTCGATCAATAAAATAGCTATATTTAACTGCTGTGCTCTCTGGTCGATCAATGAAATAACTACACTTAATTGTTGTGCTCTCTGGTCAGTCAATGAAATAACTATACTTAACTGTTGTGCTCTCTGGTCAGTCAATGAAAAAAACATATTTAACGGTTGTGCTCTCTGGTCGATCAATGAAATAACTATCTTAACTGTTGTGCACTCTGGTCAATCAATGAGATACCTATACTAAACTGTTGTGATCTCTGGTCGATCAATGAAAAAACTATACTTAACTGTTTAGCTATCTGGTCAATCAATTAAATAACCATATTTAAAGGTTGTGCTCTCTGGTCGATCAATGAAATAACAATACTTAACTGTTGTGCTCTCTGGTCAGTAAATGAAATACCTATACTTAACTCTTGTGCTCTCTGGTCAGTCAATGAAAAAAACTATACTAAACTGTTTTGCTATCTGGTCGATCAATAAAATAGCTATACTTAACTGTTGTGCTCTCTGGTCAGTCAATGAAAAAACTATGCTAAATTGTTTTGCTCTCTGGTCGATCAATGAAATAGCTATATTTAACTGCTGTGCTCTCTGGTCGATCAATGAAATAACTATACTTAATTGTTGTGCTCTCTGGTCAGTCAATGAAAAAACTATACTAAACTGTTTTGCTCTCTGGTCGATCAATGAAATAGCTATACTTAACTGTTGTGCTCTCTGGTCAGTTAATGAAAAAACTATACTAAACTGTTTTGCTCTCTGGTCGATCAATAAAATAGCTATATTTAACTGCTGTGCTCTCTGGTCGATCAATGAAATAACTACACTTAATTGTTGTGCTCTCTGGTCAGTCAATGAAATAACTATACTTAACTGTTGTGCTCTCTGGTCAGTCAATGAAAAAAACATATTTAACGGTTGTGCTCTCTGGTCGATCAATGAAATAACTATCTTAACTGTTGTGCACTCTGGTCAATCAATGAGATACCTATACTAAACTGTTGTGATCTCTGGTCGATCAATGAAAAAACTATACTTAACTGTTTAGCTATCTGGTCAATCAATTAAATAACCATATTTAAAGGTTGTGCTCTCTGGTCGATCAATGAAATAACAATACTTAACTGTTGTGCTCTCTGGTCAGTAAATGAAATACCTATACTTAACTCTTGTGCTCTCTGGTCAGTCAATGAAAAAAACTATACTAAACTGTTTTGCTATCTGGTCGATCAATAAAATAGCTATACTTAACTGTTGTGCTCTCTGGTCAGTCAATGAAAAAACTATACTAAATTGTTTTGCTCTCTGGTCGATCAATGAAATAGCTATATTTAACTGCTGTGCTCTTTGGTCGATCAATGAAATAACTATACTTAATTGTTGTGCTCTCTGGTCAGTCAATGAAAAAACTATACTAAACTGTTTTGCTCTCTGGTCGATCAATGAAATAGCTATATTTAACTGCTGTGCTCTTTGGTCGATCAATGAAATAACTATACTTAATTGTTGTGCTCTCTGGTCAGTCAATGAAAAAACTATACTAAACTGTTTTGCTCTCTGGTCGATCAATGAAATAGCTATACTTAACTGTTGTGCTCTCTGGTCAGTTAATGAAAAAACTATACTAAACTGTTTTGCTCTCTGGTCGATCAATAAAATAGCTATATTTAACTGCTGTGCTCTCTGGTCGATCAATGAAATAACTACACTTAATTGTTGTGCTCTCTGGTCAGTCAATGAAATAACTATACTTAACTGTTGTGCTCTCTGGTCAGTCAATGAAAAAAACATATTTAACGGTTGTGCTCTCTGGTCGATCAATGAAATAACTATCTTAACTGTTGTGCACTCTGGTCAATCAATGAAATACCTATACTAAACTGTTGTGATCTCTGGTCGATCAATGAAAAAACTATACTTAACTGTTTAGCTATCTGGTCAATCAATTAAATAACCATATTTAAAGGTTGTGCTCTCTGGTCGATCAATGAAATAACAATACTTAACTGTTGTGCTCTCTGGTCAGTAAATGAAATACCTATACTTAACTCTTGTGCTCTCTGGTCAGTCAATGAAAAAAACTATACTAAACTGTTTTGCTATCTGGTCGATCAATGAAATAGCTATACTTAACTGTTGTGCTCTCTGGTCAGTCAATGAAAAAACTATACTAAATTGTTTTGCTCTCTGGTCGATCAATGAAATAGCTATATTTAACTGCTGTGTTCTCTGGTCGATCAATGAAATAACAATACTTAACTGTTGTGCTCTCTGGTCAGTAAATGAAATACCTATACTAAACTATTTTGCTCTCTGGTCAGTCAATGAAAAAAACTATACTAAACTGTTTTGCTATCTGGTCGATCAATAAAATAGCTATACTTAACTGTTGTGCTCTCTGGTCAGTCAATGAAAAAACTATACTAAATTGTTTTGCTCTCTGGTCGATCAATGAAATAGCTATATTTAACTGCTGTGCTCTCTGGTCGATCAATGAAATAACTATACTTAATTGTTGTGCTCTCTGGTCAGTCAATGAAAAAACTATACTAAATTGTTTTGCTCTCTGGTCGATCAATGAAATAGCTATATTTAACTGCTGTGCTCTCTGGTCGATCAATGAAATAACTATACTTAATTGTTGTGCTCTCTGGTCAGTCAATGAAAAAACTATACTAAACTGTTTTGCTCTCTGGTCGATCAATGAAATAGCTATACTTAACTGTTGTGCTCTCTGGTCAGTCAATGAAAAAACTATACTAAATTGTTTTGCTCTCTGGTCGATCAATGAAATAGCTATATTTAACTGCTGTGCTCTCTGGTCGATCAATGAAATAACTATACTTAATTGTTGTGCTCTCTGGTCAGTCAATGAAAAAACTATACTAAACTGTTTTGCTCTCTGGTCGATCAATGAAATAGCTATACTTAACTGTTGTGCTCTCTGGTCAGTTAATGAAAAAACTATACTAAACTGTTTTGCTCTCTGGTCGATCAATGAAATAGCTATACTTAACTGTTGTGCTCTCTGGTCAGTCAATGAAAAAAACATATTTAACGGTTGTGCTCTCTGGTCGATCAATGAAAAGACTATACTTAACTGTTTTGCTATCTTGCCAATCAATTAAATAACCATATTTAAAGGTTGTGCTCTCTGGTCGATCAATGAAATAACAATACTTAACTGTTGTGCTCTCTGGTCAGTAAATGAAATACCTATACTTAACTCTTGTGCTCTCTGGTCAGTCAATGAAAAAAACTATACTAAACTGTTTTGCTATCTGGTCGATCAATGAAATAGCTATACTTAACTGTTGTGCTCTCTGGTCAGTCAATGAAAAAACTATACTAAATTGTTTTACTCTCTGGTCGATCAATGAAATAGCTATATTTAACTGCTGTGCTCTCTGGTCGATCAATAAAAAATAACTATACTTAATTGTTGTTCTCTCTGGTCAGTCAATGAAATAACTATACTTAACTGTTGTGCTCTCTGGTCAGTCAATGAAAAAACTATACTAAACGGTTGTGCTCTCTGGTCGATCAATGAAATAGCTATACTGAACTGTTGTGCTCTCTGGTCAGTCAATGAAAAAAATAATCTAAACTGTTTTGCTCTCTGTTAGTTCAATGAAATAACTATACTTAACTGTTGTGCTCTCTGGTCAGTCAATGAAAAAACTATACTTAACTGTTTTGCTCTCTGGTCGATCAATGAAATAGCTATATTTAACTGCTGTGCCTTCTGGTCGATCAATGAAATAACTATACTTAACGATTGTGCTCTCTAGTCGATCCATGAAATAACTTTACTTAACTGTTTTGCTATCTGGTCGATTAATGAAATAACTATACTTAACTGTTGTGCTCTCTGGTCGATCAATCAAATAACTATACTTAACTGTTGTGCTCTCTGGTCGATCAATGAAATAGCTATATTTAACTGCTGTGCTCTCTAGTCGATCCATGAAATAACTTTACTAAACTGTTGTGCTCTCTGGTCGATCAATGAAATAACTATACTTAACTGTTGTGCTCTCTGGTCGATCAATGAAATAGCTATACTTAATTGTTGTGCTCTCTAGTCGATCCATTAAATAACTTTACTTAACTGTTGTGCTCTCTGATCGATCAATGAAATAACTATACTTAACTGTTGTGCTCATTGGTCAGTCAATGAAAAAGCTATACTAAACTGTTTTGCTATCTGGTCGATCAATGAAATAACCATATTTAACGGTTGTGCTCTCTGGTCGATCAATGAAATAACTATACTTAACTGTTGTGCTCTCTGGTCAGTCAATGAAAAAATATACTAAATTGTTTTGCTCTCTGGTCGATCAATTAAATAACCATATTTAACTGCTGTGCTCTCTAGTCGATCCATGAAATAACTTTACTAAACTATTGTGCTCTCTGGTCGATCAATTAAATAACTATACATAATTGTTGTTCTCTCTGGTCAGTCAATGAAATGAAAATTTACATCTTTACTTTTGTGTCCCTTGGTCGATCAATGAAATAAAAATACACACCTCAACTGTTGTGTCCCCAGGTCGATCAATGAAATAATGAAAAACATCTTAACTGTTGTGTCCCCTGGTCAATCAATGAAATAAAAATACACACATAAATTGTTGTGTCCCCTGTTCGATTAATGAAACACAAATACACACATAAACTGTTGTGTCCCCTGGTCGATCAATGAATAAAAATACACACATAAACTGTCGTTTCCCATGGTCAATCAATGAAATAAAAATACACACATAAACTGTTGTGTCCCCTGGTCGATCAATGAAATAAAGATACACATCTAATCTGTTTTGTCCCTTGGTCGAACAATGAAATAAAAATACACACATAAACTGTTTTGTCCCCTGGTCGATCAATGAAATAAAAATACACACATAAACGGTTGTGTCCCCTGTTCGATCAATGAAATAAAAATACATATCTAATCTGTTTTGTCTCTTGGTCGATCGATGAAATAACGATACAAATCTTAACTGATGTGTCCCCCAGTCAATCAATAGAATAAAAATAAACATCTTAACTGTTATATCCCCTGGTTGATCAATGAAATACAGATACACACCTCTACCGTTGTGTCCCCTGGTCGATCAATGAAATAAAGATACACACCTCTACTGTTATGTCACATGGTTGATCAATGAAATACAGATACACACCTCTACCGTTGTGTCCCCTGGTCGCTCAATGAAATACAGATACACACCTCTACCGTTTTGTCCCCTGGTCGATCAATGAAATAAAGATAAACACCTCTACTGTTATGTCACATGGTTTATAAATGAAATACAGATACACACCTCTACCGTTTTGTCCCCTGGTCGATCAATGAAATAAACATACACACCTCTACTGTTATGTCACATGGTTTATAAATGAAATACAGATACACACCTCTACCGTTGTGTCCCTTGGTCGATCAATGAAATAAAGATACACACCTCAACTGTTGTGTCCCCTGGCCGATCAATGAAATAAAGATACACACCTCAACTGTTGTGTCCCCTGGCCGATCAATGAAATAAAGATACACACCTCTACTGTTATGTCACATGGTTGATCAATGAAATACAGATACACCCCTCTACCGTTGTGTCCCCTGGTCGATCAATGAAATAAACATACACACCTCTACTGTTATGTCACATGGTTGATCAATGAAATACAGATACACACCTCTACCGTTTTGTCCCCTGGTCGATCAATGAAATACAGATACACACCTCTACTGTTATGTCCCCTGGTCGATCAATGAAATACAGATACACACCTCTACCGTTTTGTCCCCTGGTCGATCAATGAAATAAAGATACACACCTCTACTGTTGTGCCCCCTGGTCGATCAATGAACTAAAAATTCATAACCGTTGTGCCCCCTGGTCGATCAATGAAATAATGACAAACATCTTAACTATTGTGCTCTCTTGTCGATCAATAAAAGAACTGTACTTAACTGTTAGGCTCCCGATGAAATTTTGATCAATGTAATAAAGATACGCAACTTAACTAGTGTTTCCCTCGCCGACCTAAGAAATAAAAATACCCCTCTTAACTGTGGTGTCCTCTGGTCGATCTATGAAATTTTGATCAGTGAAATAAATATAAATAACTGTCAATCAATGGTCGATCAATGAAATACAAATACACATCTCAACTGTTGTGTGCCCTGGTCGATCAATGGAATGAAAATACACATCTTAACTGTTGGCCCCCTGGTCAATCAATGAAAAAAATACACAACGTTTGTGTCCCCTGGTCGATCAGTGACATGCAAATACACATCTTAACTGTTATGTATCCCCTGGTCAAGTTGATCAATAGCATAAAGATCTTACCTGTGTATAAGCAGTATTACACTTCAGAATTAGTATTTGTTATTTGTATTCAGACATCAGGAAACTGTCAACCCCTCGGATGGTCATACTTTTTTTCGTTTGACACCACGTTATTGTAGATGGCTATGTTGACAACTCGTAATTGTAGATGGCTAGGTTGACACCTCGTAATTGTAGATGGCTAGGTTGACACCACGTAATTGTAGATGGCTAGGTTTACACCACGTAATTGTAGATGGCTAGGTTGACACCACGTAATTGAGATGGCTAGGTTGACACCACGTTATTGTAGGTGGCTGGGTTGACACCACGTAATTGAGATGGCTAGGTTGGCACCACGTTATTGTAGATGGCTGGGTTGACACCCCGTTATTGTAGATGGCTGGGTTGACACCACGTAATTGTAGATGGCTGGGTTGACACCACGTTGGTTGACACGACGTTATTGACACCACGTTATCATAGAGGGCTAGGTTGATACCACGTTATTGTAGATGGCTGGGTTGACACCACGTTATTGTAGATGGCTGGGTTTACACCACGTAATTGTAGATGGCTGGGTTGATACCACGTTATTGTAGATGGCTAGGTTGACACCACGTAATTGTAGATGGTTAGGTTGACACCACGTTATTGTAGGTGGCTGGGTTGACACCACGTAATTGAGATGGCTAGGTTGACACCACGTTATTGTAGATGGCTAGGTTGATACCACGTTATTGTAGATAGCTGGGTTTACACCACGTAACTGTAGATGGCTGGGTTGACACCACGTTATTGTAGATGGCTAGGTTGACACCACGTAATTGTAGATGGCTAGGTTGACACCACGTTATTGTAGATGGCTAGGTTTACACCACGTTATTGTAGATGGCTAGGTTGACACCACGTAATTGTAGATGGCTAGGTTGACACCACGTTATTGTAGATGGCTAGGTTGACACCACGTTATTGTAGATGGCTAGGTTGACACCACGTAATTGTAGATGGCTAGGTTGACACCACGTTATTGTAGATGGCTAGGTTGACACCACGTAATTGTAGATGGCTAGGTTGACACGACGTAATTGTAGATAGCTGGGTTGACACCACGTTATTGTAGATGGCTGGGTTGACACGACGTAATTGTAGATGGCTGGGTTGACACCACGTTATTGTAGATAGCTGGGTTGACACGACGTAATTGTAGATGGCTGGGTTGACACCACGTTATTGTAGATGGCTAGGTGTCACAATTGTAGATGGCTAGGTTGACACGACGTTATTGTAGATGGCTAGGTTGACACCACGTTATTGTAGATGGCTAGGTTGACACCACGTTATTGTAGATGGCTGGGTTTACACCACGTTATTGTAGATGGCTAGGTTGACACCACGTAATTGTAGATGGCTAGGTTGACACCACGTTATTGTAGATGGCTAGGTTGACACCACGTAATTGTAGATGGCTGGGTTGACACCACGTTATTGTAGATGGCTAGGTTGACACCTCGTAATTGTAGATGGCTGGGTTGACACCACGTTATTGTAGATGGCTTGGTTGACACGACGTTATTGTAGATGGCTGGGTTGACATCACGTTATTGTAGATGGCTGGGTTGACACGCCGTTATTGTAGATGGCTGGGTTGACACGACGTAATTGTAGATGGCTGGGTTGACACCACGTTGTTGTAGATGGCAGTGTTGACACGACGTAATTGTAGATGGCTGGGTTGACACCACGTAATTGTTGATGGCTAGGTTGACACCACGTTATTGTAGATGGCTGGGTTTACACCACGTTATTGTAGATGGCTAGGTTTACACCACGTTATTGTAGATGGCTAGGTTGATATAAAAATTAAAATATGAAATAAATGTGTTTGAATGTATTTGCGTAGGCGTCATTTGAATTGATTTCCGCTGCACTCGTTTATATACTTATTTATTGCTGGATTTCCGGAATAGAAGTACAATACGATGTAAGGCGACAAAAGTTCGAAACTTCAATTGATAAATAACAATGAAGCAATGGACCATCTGCTAAGTACTGAATCATTTCTTCCTCATTGTATTATGTACAAGTGGATATTCGGGGATATAAGTATGTACGGTTAGTGAAATAGGAAGGGTAGAAAATGCCCTGTATATAATTATTTTTAATCACAATTTATATAACGTGTGTTCTGATCGTGTAACTTACTAAATAGATACCGTTTAAAGATTGTTTAGGGCCCCGTACCTTTGTCCAATTACACATTGGGAGCTGTTTTTTTCGGCCTGACTATAGCTTTGATCAATTATTTCTGAAACGAAAATCATAACTTGCGGGTTTCTTTTATGAACAGAATAAAATTAATAAAAGTGACAAATACAAACTACAACAGAGTTCTTAGAGGAACAAACAGCGAGAATAGACCGGAAGTTGAACCCTATATCTCAGATTGTTTACTACCGCACTGACCGATTGATCTACCTGGTCATACCCGATGTGTACTTGCCCAACTGTGTTATATCCAAAACTGAATTAAGGGGAGGTGACTGTATTTACGGAAAAACAAACTGCAGTTCGACAGGGATCTTTAAACAACAACTTATATGATTATATATTACTATTTTGTGATTTATAATCATTATTTGAAATGTGATGTTCGTTGTACACATTTTAATTTTTTATTTCATAATTATGATAAAAAATATTATTTATAAACTATAATTGTGTTTAGCAACACTTTTTAAATACCTATCTGCAGCAAATAACTGACTTGGCCGAGCAGTATAACATTGAGTAACAATAACTTTGCCTGACAATACCAGTGATGTATATTTCATTGAGATCTGACCTCATCTGTTTATTGAAATGCCTTCTTGATAATCAAGCATAAAAAGTGTTACTCTAAAATGCACTGGTGAGCGCCATTGGTATAACAGAACAAGCATCAGCGGTAAAAGTGTTGAACAACTTCTTCCGTTAAGGTTAAAGGACAAACAATTCAGACATAAAGATTTAACGACATTTGTTCTCTAATTTCATACCGGCATGGATATATAAAGAAAACATCGTTCAATTGGTTTATTTACATTCTAAATTTATAGTTATTATTGCCATACATGTAGATATCCTCTTATATTTTCGATATTGAAGTGTCTGTCATCAGTGCAAACGAGATTCCTGGAACAGCCTAACGTCACCAAAATGTTTGCTTCTAAAGGTTGTCTCATATTATTCGAGGCGGGAGGAGAAGCTTCATAATGACGCTGATTAAATTGCGTTCATTTAAACAATAAGTGGTTGTCTGGATGTAATTATTGTTGATATGATTACAAGTGGTATATCAACAATAATTACATCCAGACAACCAGGTATTTTTTATATNTATATCAACAATAATTATATCCAGACAACCAGGTATTTTTTTATATTTACATATTTTTCTTTTTTAAGACATATTCCTACAAAAACCATTTGCCCTGCCTCAAAATACATTTCAGGCGGCCATTTTGTTTGTTTACATATTCCTACACCTGAAACAGGCAGTTGTAATTATAGTCGAGCAGTTGTAATTATAGCCTATATAATTACACTTGCCCTCTAACACTGTTGTAATGGGACGGCACGGGGGCAAATGTAAATATATTTCTATGAACGCAATTTCCTCTGGTAATGCTTAAATTAAAAAACAGATAAACATATGACATGATATCAGCCAATATGTCCTTCCAGGTTTAACTTAAATACTGAAAGCTTAATTATATTTAAAGATTAACTGAATATTTTTAAAACAACTATGAAAAACGTTATACAACTTAGATTAGGAACTCATTTTGGCGCGATCGGAAACATGCAAAGGGTTTTAATGACCTTATAATAATGAAACTATCAGGCTAGCAAATGTTATCAGAATAAACTGGTTTAACGATAGAGTAGAATTTGTAAAGGCAAATATACATATTTCAACGTATGTAGTATTCATATTTCAACGTATACAATATACAGATTTCAACGTATACAATATACAGATTACATCGTATACAATATACAGATTTCAACGTATACAATATACAGATTTCAACGTATACAGTATACAGATTTCATCGTATACAATATACATATTTCAACGTATACAATATACAGATTTCAACGTATAAAATATACAGATTTCATCGTATAAAATATACAGATTTCAACGTATACAGTATACAGATTTCATCGTATACAATATACAGATTTCAACGTATACAATATACAGATTTCAACGTATAAAATATACAGATTTCATCGTATAAAATATACAGATTTCAACGTATACAGTATACAGATTTCATCGTATACAATATACAGATTTCATCTTATACAATATACAGATTTCATCGTATACAATATTCAGATTTCAAAGTATACTTTTAAAGACATTGTAAATATTTTAAAGAAAACTTTTACAATTTATTTGGCAGTATAAATTATGAATACCACAAGATGTTTTCCCTTAAAAGTGCCGCTACATCAAAGTTGATTGGTTTGTGAAAGATCAAGACCTTTTTGTTACTCATAACAGGTGGCATGAAATCGTGGATCTGTGCAAATTGTGTCATGCAAGTCTCACATGACACGTATTTCTGTCTATCGGTACAACCGGGGGCTTTATACATATGAATGACAGATGGTGCATGTCATTTCTCAATCTGTATTACCAATAGTGTCAATAGAGTCAAACTTCATTAGTGTCTTACATATGATTATCATGACAACTGTTCTTATATGATATATAATAAAGGGGCATATCAATGTGTTTTACATTCATTACTTGGGGATTCTTAGCTACTCACAGCCACCTACTCGCACCTGTAATTTTAGACAGTATTCTTACAATAGATTTCCTAATTAATACATTTCTGTGCGACATTCTCAATCCATTTCAGAGAGTCCCACAGCCCTCGTTGTGGCAGTATGCCTTCTCCTTCAAGTAAACTGAGTAACTTTTACCCTCGTAGACGTTACAACTCTTGAGATTGGGACAAGGAATTGAAATATGTTAAGCAGCACGGACACTAGCAAGTTAGACTCAATCATACTAATATTAATCAATTTATTTCAAGTTGATGGCCATAATAGTGTCAAGTATATTCGTGACAAGTTTGGAATCGTGTAATTTCACAGAGTTCCACAGCCCTTGTTGTGGCAGTACCAGCATCCCTGTGGATACTGAGAAACTTTTACCTTCGTAAGATGTTCCAACTCTATGAAATTAATGCATTCCTCGTTCAGTGCTGCTTTAATTTCATCTATCGATACTGCAGAGCAATACTGCCCCCCGGTTGGCCTCCGCTAACCTGCTTTATCAAACTAATGCTACACAACAATTAATTATCAGGAGCAGCTGAGATGATCTTCAAGCTTAAAATG